CCTCCATACACACCCACACACGTCCCTTTCTTCATGCTTTCTATATTAAGGAAATAATACACATATCCTTTATGGTTTGTTTTAATGTCAGTGGCTGTGACTATTAGCAAAGGATCCTCTCAAAAAAAAAACCCTGATGAACTAAAACTTATTTTAATGAAGTTTATTTTTAAGAATAACGATTTTCTTGTAGAATTCTTTTCTTCTGCCTAGGCACTTTTTTCCCTCCTTGAATGGCAGATTTGCAAGTACAATTTCATCTGCACAGAGGAACAATAGCTTTCAGTTGCACAAAGGATTTCTCCCACCCTGAATCCAAACCACAATGCCTCTTGCTCTGATAATAGCTTCTGAAAAGATTTTGTAATGCAGAGAATTAATACATGATTATTTCCGCCTCACTTCTCTCATTTATTAGATTCTATAGTGAATTCCAAATTAAAAATAGCACCTCTTGAGTTTTTTAATGTTCTAATATTTTGAAACAAATCATATTCCGAAGTTCATCTTTTTGCCCATGTTTACTAAGAAATCTGCATTTTTTTTATTGCTCAGATACAAAACTGGCTAATATAGATGTAAAAATCAAGGCATGCAAAAATTGCAAAAAATTATAACGTCAGGTTGTTTTAAAATGAATCGTAGTGATTTTTCCTTTGCAAACTGGAAGAGAGGTTGGGTGCAGTAACTGGTAAACTGGGTTTTAAATCAGGAATATCTTTTTATATTTATGAAGCAAAGCACAACCTCAACTTCTGTTGGAGTTTTGCTTCAGTGAGGACCAGAATCAGGCCCTGTGTCCTAAAGGAAATAATGAAGTGTGATTCTGCTGAGGCATCTGGAAGGTGAGCTTTCCCATCACTGCATGGGAGCTCTTCTCTGCTCTTACAAAGACTTTCTCCCACACTTCCAACATAGGTGTGAGAACTTATTTACATGAAAGCGTACATTAAATATTTACTGACATTTGCCTGGAATTCGTTTGAAATGTCGGCTGTTCTGCTGCATCATGGGATGACACCACGGAACGGGACGCTGCTCTTTGATTAGAACAGTGATTTGTGACTCCGGTGTTATGGCTGCTCTAGTTACTGACTCACTTTTGGGTGTATATAAAATGCGTTCTGTCGAGGGACTGGGAAAGCCTACATGAGATCAGATCCTAAGCATTTTTTATTCCCTCTTAAAAAAACCCAACAACCACAAACCCTCACAGAAGCAGTGTACTTCAAGCAAACACTGTTGAGTGTAAGTGGTAGGTGTAATGTTGTTCTGAGACAGGGTAAATCTTTGCCTTGTAGCATTTAAGCTCAGGCCGGGCCGTTGTAAAGCAAGGAAAGACTGTCCGAACATCTCCAAAGCCTCCGTTTTTGGAGTCACTTCCTAAGCCATCCATTTAGGAATTAGTTGTTTTTCCTTCACTGGGACTCTGTGATACTACACAATTTTCCAAGGAGAAAATCATTCAGAGGAATGTCAATATATCCTGTTATATAAAGTTTAAAAAATGCATAGTTACATGTAGCTGAGTTTAATATTTAATTATGTGTAATTTATGTGGTCTATTTATTTGTTAAGCCTTAGGGGGGGAAAGAAAAGGTGATTTGTTTTTCTTGTTACGCAACAGCTATTGTTCCCCTTCCACCCCAGGCGCAGCACCATGGCAGCCCCAGCCAGCACAGAGAGAGGTGTTCTGCTTTAAAAGACATCCGACTGTAAATGTCAAATTCATAAATATTTAAACATTTTTCTTTCAATTTCAAGTCAAGTCTGACAGGACGCCTCTAATTAACCCTGGGCTCCGTTTCAGGCTGGGGCCTGACTGCAGGGAAGAATCAGGGGGTTAGGCGAGGTGGGGAAATCTGTGCTCCTGGCTGGGGGCGGGGGGGGCCGGTACCTAACTCGCCGTATTAATTTTTACCCGTTTCATAATCTGATGTTTGGTCAGACATCAAGCAGGACGGAAGGGCAGCGGGTTTCTCCGGCGGAGCTGGGGGCAGTGGGGTCTGTTTCCCGACGGGCATGCCCGGGGGGGCCGGGCCCCGCTGCCCTCCTCGGCCCCGGCTGTCCCCAGCCCGGGGGAGCCGCCGATGCGGGGCCCGGG